TGCCTCAGCCTCTCAAGTAGCTGGGATTACAGGCACGTGCCACCATGCCCAGCTAATTTTTTGCATTTTTTTTTGGTAGAGATGGGGTTTCACCATGTTGACCAGGATGGTCTCGATCTCTTGACCTCGTGATCCACCCACCTTGGCCTCCCAAAGTGCTGGGATTACAGGCTTGAGCCACCGTGCCTGGCTTCCTTTATTCTTTTTTAAGACAGGGTCTTGCTCTGTTGCCCAGGCTAGAGTACAGTGACTTCATCGAAGTTCACTGTAGCCTTTGACCTCCCGGGTTCAAGCAATCCTCCCACATCAGCTGGGACCACAGGTACACATCACCATGCCTGGCTACTTTTTATTTTTGGTGGAGATGAAGTCTCCCTTTGTTGCCCAGGCTGGGATCCTGTTTTTCTTTTTTCTTTTTCTTTTTTTGAGAGAGAGTTTTGCTCTGTCACCCAGGCTGGAGGGCAGTGGTGTGGTCTTAGCTCACTGCAACCTCCACCTCCTGGGTTCAAATGATTCTCATGTAGTCCTAGCAATTCAGGAGGCTGAGGTGGGAGGATCACCTGAGCCCAGGAGTTGGAGGCTATAGTGAGCTATGATCATGCCACTGCACTCCAGCCAGCCTGGGTGACAATGAGACCCTGTCTCAAAAAATAAAATGTTTATATGTATTACTTATAAATGTGGAGATAAATATAAAAAGCTCACAGCTCAATAGGTAAAAACTTTTGGGAGCAAAGAAGTAGGGACAATTAGAAACGTTGCAATCTTAATTTATATATATACATATATATTATTGCACTTTAGACTCTGGGGTACATGTGCAAAACATATGGGATTGTTGCATAGGTACACACGTGGCAGTGTGGTTTGCTGCCTCATCCCCCCATCACCTATATCTGGTATTTCTCCCCATGTTATCCCTCCCCAATCTCCCCACCCCCAGCTGTCCTTCCCCTGTTCCCCCAACAGACCCCAGTGTGTCTTGCTCCCCTCCCTGTGTCCGTATGTTCTTATTGTTCAACACCTGCCTATGAGTGAAAACATACGGTGTTTGTTTTTCTGTTCTTGTGTTGGTTTGCTGAGAATGATGGTTTCCAGATTCATCCATGTCCCTACAAAGGACACGAACTCATCATTTTTATGGCTGCATAATATTCCATGGTGTATATGTGCCACACTTTCCCTGTCCAGTCTATCATCAATGGGCATTTGGGTTGGTTCCAGGTCTTTACTATTGTAAAGTGTCGCAATGAACATTGCATGTGCATGTGTCTTTATAATAGAATGATTTATAATCCTTTGGATATATACCCAGTAATGGGATTGCTGAGTCAAATGGAATGTGTATTTCTAGGTCCTTGAGGAATCGTCACACTATCTTCCACAATGGTTGAACTAATTTACACTCCCATCAATGGTGTAAAAGCATTTCTATTTCTCCACATCCTCTCCAGCATCTGTTGTCTCCAGATTTTTTAATGATTGCCATTCTAACTGGCATGAGATGGTATCTCAATGTGGTTTTGATTTGCATTTCTCTAATGAACAGTGATGATGAGCATTTTTTCGTATGTTTGTTGGCCTCATAAATGTCTTCTTTTGAAAAGTGTCTGTTCATGTCCTTCGACCAGTTTTGAATGGGGTTGTCTTTTTCTTGCAAATCTGTTTTAGTTCTTTGTAGATTCTGGATATTAGCCCTTTGTCAGATGGGGTAGATTGCAAAAATTTTTTCCCATTCTGTTGATTGTTGGTTCACTCTAATGATTGTTTCTTTTGCTATATAGAAGCTCTGGAGTTAATTAGGTCCCATTTGTCTATTTGGGCTTTTGTTGCCAATGCTTTTGGTGTTTTAGTCATGAAGTCCTTGCCTATGCATATGTCCCGAATGGTTCTGCCTAGATTTTCTTCTAGGGTTTTTATGGTCTTAGGTCTTATGTTTAAGTCTTTAATCCATGTGGAGTTAATTTTAGTGTAGGTGTCAGAAAGGTGTCAGAAAGGGGTCCAGTTTCTGCTTTCTGCACATGGCTAGCCGGTTTTCCCAACATCATTTATTAAACAGGGAATCCTTTCCCCATTGCTTGTTTTTGTGAGGTTTGTCAAAGATCAGATGGTTGTAGACGTGTGGCATTGCCTCTGAGGCCTCTGTTCTGTTCCATTGGTCTATATCTCTGTTTTGGTACCAGTATCATGCTGTTTTGATTACTGTAGCTTTGTAGTATAGTTTGAAGTCAGGTAGTGTGATGCCTCTCCCTTTGTTCTTTTTTGCTTAGAATTGTGTTGGCTATGCAGGCTCTTGTTTGGTTCCAAAGTTTAAGGTGTTTTTTTCCCAATTCTGTGAAGAGGGTCATAGGTAGCTTGATGGGGACAGCATGGAATCTATAAATTACTTTGGGCAGTATGGCTATTTTCACAATATTGATTCTTCCTAACATGAGCATGGGATGTTTTTCCATCTGTGTGTGTCCTCTCTGATTTCCTTGAGCAGTGGTTTGTAGTTCTCCTTGAAGAGGTCCTTTACATCCTTTGTTAGTTGTATTCCTAGGTATTTTATTCTCTTTGTAGCAATTGTGAATGGCAGTTCGTTCTTGATTTGGCTCTCTTTAAGTCTGTTGTTGGTGTATAGGAATGCTTGTGATTTCTGCACATTGATTTTGTATCCTGAGACTTTGCTGAAGTTATTTGTTTCAGATTTTCGGATGAGATGATGGGGTCTTTTAAATTTACTATCATGTTGTCTGCAAATAGAGACAATTTGACTTCCTCCTTTCCTAACTGAATACCCTTTATTTCTTTTTCTTGACTGATTTCTCTGGCTAGAACTTGCAATACTGTATTGAATAGGAGTGGTGAGAGAGGGCATCTTCGCCTAGTGCCAGATTTCAAAGGGAATGCTTCCAGTTTTTGCCCATTCAGTATGACATTGGCTGTGGGTTTGTCATAAATAGCTTTTATTATTTTGAAATACATTCCACCAATACCTAGTTTATTGAGAGTTTTTAGCATAAAGGGCTGTTGAATTTTGTCAAAGGCCTTCTCTGCATGTATTGAGATAATCGTGTGGTTTTTGTCTTTGGTTCTGTTTATGTGGTGCATTACATTTAAAGACTTCTGTATGTTGAACCAGCTTTGCATCCCGGGGATGAAGCCTACTTGACCTTGATGGGTAATCTTTTTGATGTGCTGTTGTAATTGGTTTGCCAGTATTTTACTGAAGATTTTTGCATCTACGTTCATCATGGATATCGGCCTGAAGTTTTCTCTTCTTGTTGAGTCTCTGCCGGGTTCTGGTATCAGGATGATGTTGGTCTCATAAAATGATTTGGGAAGGGTTCCCTCTTTTTGGATTATTTGGAATAGTTTCAGAAGGAATGGTACCAGCTCCTCTTTGTATGTCTGGTAGAATTCGGCTGTGAACCCATCTGGACCTGGGCTTCCTTTGGTTGGTAAGCTATTAATTGCTGCCTCAACTTCAGCCCTTGTTATTGGTCTACTCAGGGTTTTGTCTTCTTCCTGGTTTAGGCTTGGGAGGGTGCAAGTGTCCAGAAGTTTTTTGTTTTGTTTTTCAGACAGTCTTGCTCTGTCACCCAAGCTGGAGTACAGTGGCACAATCTTGGCTCACTGCAATCTCTGCCTCCTGGGCTGAAATGATTCTCCTGCCTTAGCCTCCTGAGTAGCTGGGATTACAGGCATGTGCCACCATGCCCAGCTAATTTTTTTTTGTTGTTGTTGTTGTTTTGTATTTTTATTAGACAGGGTTTCAGCATGTTAGCCAGATGGCCTTGATCTCCTGACCTCATGATCCACCCCCCCTGGCCTCCCAATGTGTTGGTATTACAGGCATGAGCAACTGCGCCTGGCCATATTATTTAATTTTTAAAAGATAATGTGTAAGCCAGGTGCAGTGGCTCACGTCTATAATCCCAGCACTTTTGGAGGTCAAAGTGGAGGATCACTTGATCCCAGGAGTTTGAGACCAGCCCAGGCGACATGGCAAAACTGTCTCTACAAAAAAATACAAAAGCATTAGCTGGGGGTGGTGGCATCCATCTGTAGTCCCAGCCACTTGGAAGGCTAAAGTGAGAGGATCACTTCAGGACTAGAGGTCAACACTGTAGGAAGCCATGGTCACACTGCTGCGATCCAACTTGAGAGACAGAGTGAGACCCTGTCTCAAAAAGAAATAAAAATAAAAATAAAGATATGTGTAATTAAGAACAAATGAATTTTCAAAAAGTTGCTAGAAGGTTACACACAAAACCAGCTGGGCAGACTCTGGGTGCACTGCCTATGAGTTAGCCTTGCTCCACAAGGAGCAGCACTGTTAATAAGACTTGCTGTCTAACAAGATCAAACAACAACAACAACAACATTGGTTAAATCTTTGGAGCTCGAATTAGGGAACCGGAGTTCAGAAAGAACATTTGCTTTTCATTTAGTGTGCTCTTGCATCGTTTTACTGTGAATGTTATTTTTATAACAGTATTTATATCTTAAAAAACAATTTATTTGCTAATGAGAATTTATCTTCTCCCTCAGGTGGCTTTGGGCAGAAAAGCTGAGACCTTCTGATTTATATCAAATGAAGTCCAAGTAAATCAGTGACTTGACTTGACCAGACATAGAACTTAATAGAGCCTGAATTAGGACCAGGACTTCATTGGGGCAAGAGTCCCCTTTAATCTTTCCCAGCTTCAGAGGGAATAAAAAAATATATAAGGATGCATCTCATCATTTTTGAATATTTATAGGTCCCTACACTGAATATTAAAATCCCAAGCTAAAAGTCATATATTGGCCTAGGTTCAGACCCAGGCCCAGAACAGCAAAGAACTGCCCAGTTGAGTGAGTGTTGCTGAAAACCACTAAATTTGGAGTGTCTTGTTATGCAACAATAGTAACTGCTGTCCTGCCACTACACAGATGCCATCACAACATCAGAATTCTGATGTGATGAAAATTTCCCTTTTGAATATTTAAATAGACTTTAAAAGAAAAAGAACTACCAGTGAAGCTGAATGTTTAATACATTTGTAGGAACAGAAGAAATGTAGTAAGGATTAAAATCGTATAATTACATTAGATATATTTGTAAAAGATGTTTCATTCTTCAAAGAAGTTTCCCCCTTTTCCCATCTTTTTTTTTTTTTAATCTTCCTCAGAGCAGTAAATAGTAATTACTACATTTATGAACAAGCTGCTCTACTGTGTTGGACAGTAATTATTATATCTTTATGTTTCACATCATTATTACCTCCCAAAATTCTACCTTCATTTCCCTGCATAGTTTCACAAAACTGTACTCCACTCAAATCAGAAGAGCCCAAACAAATTACAGTAACAGCAGTCAAATTCATATGAATGAATGATAGAGAACCAAAGATTTTAAAGTGCTGATTTAGTAATATAGTGTCTACTGGCACAAACTTTCTATTACATCATATTATTAAAACAACAGCAACAGAAATGAAAGCTACATTAATGAGAAAGTAACTTAGGAATGAGGTCATTAAATATAACTAACTATATAACTAACTACATTTTAAATACAGATATTATGTATTTCCTGATTAGTATCCAGTAAGTATCTAGACTTCTATCCTGAATTCCGGTCTCAGATAAAAAGGTCAAGACAGTTACAAGGAAGATGCTTAATATTATCAGGTCCATTTTTTACATGACGAGGTCCTTTAGGAAATTGCGTTAGTCTTTCTTTTTATCAGAGATCTCTGTTGGTCCTTTTGTTGGTAATCCATTCATGTCTGCACCCTAAACGAAAAAAAAATTTAGAAATTATTGTAACAAAAAGATATTCATTAAGAGACATACTCCCAAAGTGCTGGGAGGCTGAGGCGGGTGGATCACCCGAGGTCAGGAGCTGGAGACCAGCCTGACCAACATGGAGAAACCCTGTCTCTACTAAAAATATAAAATTAGCCAGATGTGGTGGTGCATTCCTGCAATCCCAGCTACTCAGGAGGTCGAGGTGGGAGAACTGCTTGAACCAGGGAGATGGAGATTGCGGTGAGCCAAGATTGTGCCACTGCACTCCAGCCTGAGCGACATGAGTGAAATTCTGTCTCCAAAAAACAAGCAAAAAAGGCAACAAGCTCTAGAGTGAAACATTTTGCTTCCAGAAACGGACGGCTAAAGTAGTGCAGCTGAGCACAAAGCTGACTCTAAAAAAAGCAACAATTCTAAAGATAATAGAGTTGTCTACTCATTAAAAAAATTTTTTTTTGGTTAAAAAAAAATCTCTATGATCCTTTTAATTAAATCTCTTACCAAAGTTATCAATCAGTGAAACTGGTTTGTATTAGTGTATCTCTTCTCATCCATTAGCTCTTTACCATTATACTTACCAGTCAGGAAATACTGGTTATCATTTTGGCCAAAAGGCAAATGCATTACAGGAACAGAAGAAATCAGAAGCTTACTTTAAAACCTTAATTTAAGCCAAATGTTAGACAAATTATTGAAGCTTCTGGTTCTAAAACCTGTCTTTCCAAAATCTAAGTGTTTCACCCACGTACCACCCCCTTTCACTGCTCTTACTGAAGGCATGTGAATGTTCTTACCTTACAGTCTACTTTGCCTTTGTTTGTATCATTGGTTTCTTGTATAGCTTTTTTAGGCCATATACGACCAACGAAGGGGGAAATCAGAGGGTATATGTATGGCTCCAGGAATTTTTTGTAGATCCAGAGCAGAACTGGAATGACGATACAAGGAATGCACACCATTGTCCTGGGCTTGAGCTCCTCAACTGTTGATCTACACAAAGAAAAGAAGTTAGTTCATCACAGATTAGTCACTGAAGGAATTTACCAAGATTAAGGCATCTGAAAGGGGTGAGGTGTGGTGGCTCATGCCTGTAATCCCAGCATTTTGGGAGGCAAGAGCATATCTTGGGCCAAGGAGTTTGAAACCATCTTGCACAACAGAGTGAGACCTTGTCTCTACTAGGTAAAAAAGTTAGCTGGGCATGGTGGCATACTCCTGTGGTCCCAGCTACATAAGTGGCTGAGACAGGAGGATCACTAGAGCCCAGGAGGTTGAGGCTGTAGTGGGCCATGTTCATGCCACTGCTCTCCAGCCTAGATGACACAGAGAGACTGTCTCAAAAAAGAAAAATACATATACATTATCTGAAAGGACTACTTTACAGTGTAGGGAAAACTTAAAACATACTATTACATTTGCAAAAAAAAAAAAAAAAAAAAAAAAGATTTTATTAAACAAAAATGCTGCTATCTGCAAGGTAAAGTAGGGCAGGAGCAGTGGCTCTTGCCTGTAATCCCAGCACTTTGGGAGGCCAAGGAGGGCAGATCAATAGGTCAGGAATTCGAGACCAGCCTGGCCAACATGGTAAAACCCCATCTCCACTAAAAATACAAAAATTAGCTTGGCTTAGTGAAGTGCACCTGCAATCCCAGCTACTTGGGAGGCTGAGGCAGAATTGCTTGAACCCAGGAGGTGGAGGCTGCAATGAGCCAAGATCCTGCCACTGCACTCCAGCCTGGGTGAAAGAACAAGACTTCGTCTCAAAGAAAAGAAAAAAAGAAATAATAGGTGGCAGACATGGATAATAATGAGGTGCTTGCTTCCAAACTTTTCCAATCACTGCACCCCAATCATGAATTTGATGATAAAGGAAAGACAACAACATTTGGTAGGTGCTAGGCAGTTTACATCTATCAACTCATTAATCTTCAAAACAATCAGTGAGGTTGGGTGCCTTTGCTACTATCTCTATTTGGAGCTTAAAAAATGGAGAAACAAAAACATTAATTTAGTATTATGACTTACACTCCATTTAAGTGTGGAGTGGACTTCTAGTGAGATAACTCCCAAGTCCTAATCTTCAGGGACTGACAATATCAATTAGCCAAACCCACAACGCTGACAGCAAATCCTGCAATACAAAACTTACAAAGAAACTACTTTGAAAGACCTCTAGGCTGAAAATCACCTGACCTTTCCCAGGCAACAACTCTCCTTTGATATATTTTGCTTTTATTTTCAAGGGCATAATTTAAGGTGTGTTAAGTAACAAAAAAAATTTATTATCGTATGTTCTAAGTAAATTGTGCATTTCCAAAAATTAACACCTATGCTGACTTTGCTGGCACAGAGCCGTAATCCTAGCTACCTGGAAGAATAAGGTGAGAAGATTGCTTTTTTGTTGTTTTTTCCTCAAGACCCTTCTCACTCTGTTGCCCAGGCTGGAGTGCAGTGGCACCATCGTGGCTTACTATAGCCTTGACCTCTTGGGTTCAAGTGATCCTCCCACCTCAGCCTCCCGAGTTTGCTAACTTTAAGAAGTTCTAATGTGATTTCTAATCATCAAGGAAATTAGTGGTGTTAATTTGTTTTGAGACAAGGTCTTAAACTGTCACCCAGGTTGGAAGTGCAGTGGCACAATCATCACTCACTGCAGCCCTAAACTTGTGAGCCTAAGCAATTAGCCACAATGCATGGCTAGTTTTAGAAAATTTCTGTAGAGATGGAGGGGGAGGGGTCTTACTATGTTGCCCAGGCTGTTCTCAAATGCATGACCTCAAGTGATCCTCCTGCCTCAGGGTTCTGGGTTGCTCAGATTACAGGTGTGAGCCACTGTGCCAGGCTCAGGAGGATCACTTGAGCTCAGAAGTTTAAGGCTGCAGAGAGCTATGATCATGCCACTGCACTCCAGCTGGGCAATAGTGCAAGACCTTGTCTCAAAACTAACAAATCAACACTACTGATTTCCTTGATGATTAGAAATCATGTGGAAACTTCTCAAAATCAGCAATTTCTTGAAGAACCAATACTAGTTCCATAACATATTATTAAACCAAATGATCTCTTAAATTTACAAGACTTTTTAATCACCTAGAATAGGATGGAGGGCCTTAAAAAGTATAAAAGAAAGCAGCTTTCAAACAGTGCAAAATGCTGATAAGTTAGCATGTTAAGAATTCTTGTCCAGGCGCCGTGGCTCACACCTGTAATTCCAGCACTTCGGGAGGCCGAGGCGGGTGAATCATGGCGTCAGGAGATCGAGACCATCCTGACCAACATGGTGAAACCCCGTTGCAGTGAGCCGAGATCGCACCACTGCACTGCAGTCTGGCACAAAGTGAGATTCCATCTCAAAAAAAAGAAAATCTTATTTTAAGGCCAGGAGGGGTGGCTCATATCTGTAATCCCAGCACTTTGGGAGGCCGAGGTAGGCAGATCACTTGAGGTCAGTTCAAGACCAGCCTGGCCCCATCTCTACTAAAAATGAGCTGAGTATTTTTCAAAATATTGCAAATTAAGTAGGATCTGCTGGCAAATGAGTCAGCACCATGACTATGCTAAGACATTTTAAAATTATTCACAATACAGGTGAAAAACGGTATAGACAATCTAATCTGATTATGTCTTTCAAATGAATTACAAGCAAGAGCTATAAACAAAAATGTAAATTGAGGCCGGGAGCAGTGGCTCACACCTGTAATCCCAGCACCTTGGGAGACTGAGGCAGGTGGATCACCTGAGGTCAGGAGTTTGAGACCAACCAGCCTGGCCAACATGGTGAAGCCCCATGTCTACCAAAAATAAAAATATGAGCTGGGTGTGGTGGCGTGCACCTGTAATCCCAGCTACTTGGGAGGCTGAGGCAGAAGAATCATTTGAACCTGGAAGGTAGATGTTGCAGTGAGCTGAGATCACGCCATTGCACACCAGCCTGCATGACGAGCAAAACTCCACCTCAAAAAAAAATAAATAAAAAAAAAATTGCCTGGGCAACAGTGTTTTTTTTTTTTTTTTTTTTTTTTTGAGACAAGGTCTTGCTCTGATGCTCAGGCTAAAGTCAGTGGCTCAAACATACCACTTGTGTGTTCAGAGTTCACTGCAGCCTCGACCTCCTAGACTCAAGCTATCCCTATACCTCAGCCTCCTGAGTAGCTAGGACCACAGCCCCATGCTATCACACCCCATTAATTTTTAAATTTTCAGTAGAAATGAGGTCTCACTCACTGTGTTGCTCAGTTCTGAACTCAAGAGACCCTTCTGCCTTGTCCTCCCAAAGTGCTGGGATTACCGAAACCTGCCTTTTTTTTTTTTTTTTTTTTTTTTTAATGATTAGCCAAGTGTGGTGGCACATGCCTGTCGTCCCAGCTACTTGGGGAGCTGAGGAAGGAGAGAACCGCTTGGGCCATGGAAAGTCAAGGGTGTTGTGAACTATGACAGCCCACTGTGCTCCAGCCTGGGCCACAGACACACACCCTGTCTCAAGATAATAAATAAATGAATAAATCCAAAAGTTGTAACCTGTCCGAAGTTCTCATAGAGGTAACCGGTAATCAGGGCTGGTTAAGACCATTATTTCCAGTTCTTGTTTTCCTCAATATTCTTGGCTTTTCCTCTTTCAAAACCACAATGGTCATGTTATTCCCTTTTACCAAACGTTCCAAACCAACTAAACCCCTTCAAAACAACTGGCAATGCTACCAGTACTAGCTTAGTTAGTGACTGACAGGCCCTCCATCATAAAGATTCATTTTTACTTCTATAGTTGTGTTTTAAGCAAGCTCACACAGTATGGTGTAAATAAACTCTCAAGAACAAATACTACTCATCACGTAGGCCATAATTATGGCATTTAAGTGACCTTTTAGTTCTCTTCAGAATTAAGCCTACTTGTATCTTTTAATCTTCATTTATTCGGTAAGATATTTTACTTCACACATGTGGAAAGTGGGTCAGAAAAGTCTAGAAGGTGGCTAGGAGATATTACTATTTTAATTATTCTCTCCAAGCCAACCAAGCAAGTAAAACGGATTAAAGCTGTTGCAGAGGAATCTTCGTTCCCTCGACTTAGGTCCAGATAACAGAGGAGACAGGAAGTCTGAGGCTCCATCGGAAACAGGGCAGGCATAATAGAGAAAGCCACTTTCCTTCAAGTCATCCAGTTGAGCATGTCATCTTGGAGACAGGAGGGTAGGGCGGGGCGGGGGGTGGGTGGTTGGAGGGGAGGCAGGTTAAGTCAAAGACAATGATTGAAAGGAGGAGAGAAAAGAGGCCTAACGGCGAAGGTCACAGAAAGGATGTGAAACCAACAATACTTGCCCACAGAAAAGAACAAAACCAATATAAAGTATCGGAGAGACCAATGCAAGCACCGAGGGCACGGGTGGTGAACAAGGAATGCAGACAGAGGCGCAGGGCCGGGGAGGGCGGGTCGGCGCCCACGCGGAAGGAAGGTACCGTGAGAGCGAAGGCGGGCACTGCAGGGGCCGGCGGGCCAGAGCGCCGAGGACGGCGGGAGGCGGGAGGCCGGGCACTGGCTAGGGTTCTGCGAGCGCCTGGGCCTGCCGAGCAGCCCCTCAAGCCCACCTCAAGCCGGCAGTCCAGACACACTTACCCGCGACCGCGGAAGCGGAGCTGACAATGTCTGCACTTCCGGAGGGAGAGACGAACCGCCGCCCAGCCAATGGGAGCCTCCAACGGAAATGACAAAGGCGCGCCTGCGTCAGCCCACATTGCACGCAGCAGTGTCGCCCAGCGGGAGGCGGCGGGGCTTGCGGCGCTGGGCCCTGCGCTTCCCAGGTGCCCACATAAGAGCCCCGCTCCGGGAGGAAAGCCTCGCCTGACAACTCCGTGACTCGGAACGCAGGATTAAAATTAAAAACACTGGCCGGGCGTGGTGGCTCACGCTTGTAATCCAAGCACTTTGGAGGCCAAGGCGGGCGGATCACATGAGGTCGGGAGTTCAAGACCAGCCTGACCAACACGGTGAAACGCCTTATAAAAAAGAAAAGAAAAAAAAGAACACTGCCACGGCAAAGGATGACGCCCGTGAAAATGGCGTGGCATCCACAGGGAAGGTGGCAGCTGGGCGGTTTGTTAAATTCAAGTTTCTTAAATTCAAGGGCAGAGCAAACAACTAAAGCCAACTTTAGATATCAGTTAATAGCAGTTAAATCACTTTATACTAAACAGTGGACACTCGCTAGGATGTCAGTACATGTTGGCGATGCATGGCAACTGGGCCCTTCACACCCTGCTGTTGAAATGTAATGTGCAGCCTTTTTGGAAATATTTCAAAGTTCCTTATATGTTTATTCGGGTTACCAGATGATCCAGCAATTCCAGTAGAGTATATACCCGAGAAATAAAAAAACACAAAAATCTGCAAAGGTTTAAAGTACCATCGTTTCTAACAGCAAAAACCAAACCTGTTTTATCAATTGATGAAATAATACAGGTTGAGCATCATTACTCAAAAAAGCTTCAGAACCTGAGCCTGATTGCTGTCATAACAAAGGCAATACTCAATGGAGCCATTTCCAGTTGCAGATGATCAAATGGTATACTCACACACTGGACTATTGTTTTGAGACAGGGCCTTACTCTGCCTTGCCCAGGTTGAGTGCAGTAGTCCTCACTGCAACCTCCCACCCTCAGTCCCCCAATTAGCTTAGACTACATGGAAGTGACATCAATCACACTCAGTGAATTTTAGTTATTCATTATTTTTGTAGACAGGCTTGTCCCATTGCCCAGGTCTTGAACTCCTGGGCTCAAGCAGCCAGCCTTCGCCTCTCAAAATGCTGGGATTATAGAAATGAGGCAGCACTTGTGTCAGCCATGAAAATGTTTAATGGTACAGGGTAAACAATCTGTTGCTTCTAATTCAAATCCTAAAAATCCCCATTTGATCCATCTCCTAAGGACACTTGAAATAATAAAGACAACCAACATTCTTTTCCTTTTAGTTGCATTTATTTTAAGGCTGAATTTATTCCCGTGCCATAAGTTTTTGTTTCTTCAGTTTCTTCTGGGATATCTGGAGAAAGGAAAAGAGACTGTGAAGTTTCTTGGAGAAACCCATAGTACATCTTGGAGGACTGCAGCTTATTCTGGAGACAGGAAACCTGGTTGTTAAGGACTGAGGGGGAAAATACTTAAAAGATAAAATCAATAGAACCTAAGTTCATTAGGTGTAATGAGAAGTGTACAGAATCACTCAGGTTCTTGACTTAAACAAGCTTCTGAGATTTGGGGAGAAGGCCTGTTTTGAAATGGCTATGTACATGTAAGTGGAGCCATAAGCAGATAATCATATGGGCCTGATGTATTGAATATAAAACTACCACTTATTATTATTAAACAAACAAAATCACAAAAGCCGAGG